ATATAGATGAAAAGTTACTCATTTATCAGGAGTGAATTAATAGAAACCTAGAGCTTACAGATGACATGAAATTAAAACCCACCCACCCACTCATCGTCTCTTTCACTCAGCACTTATCCAGCACCGCTAGTCCCAGGCTCCCCCAGTGACAGCACTTGGAGAAAGAAAGAAGAAAGTCAGGGATGTTTAGATTTGCTCCCAGTCACTGATAAGCCCCTGGGGAATGACCCCTGTGGTGTCGGGGAAGCACTGCGGACAGAAGCCACAGGAAGAAGTGGGCAGAGCGGTGGACGAAACAGACTCAAGGTCCACGGCCAGTCCGTGCCTTGGAAGCTGGTTACAGGGTCGAGGGAAACAGGAAGAAGGCCTGGTTGCCGGATGTGGTCGGGAGCTACGGTTTAAGCAAAAGTGGATGGTCCTCACTTTCCCGAGCCTTCTCGGAGCCCGTCCGCGTGGTGCTCTGCCTGCAGGCGCCAGGCCCGCAGACTTGATGGGGCCACCGGGGCCCCGGTGCAGAGGAGGGTCTGTGGGGGGGCTGGGCTGAGGACCTCCCCACCCCGCCCCACCGCCGCCCCGCCTGCAAGAGAATCCCTGGTCGAGCAGCGGGACTTTGTGCGTGATGTTGTTGGCCTGGTTCCGGTCCCAGGACGCAGACGAGGCAGTGCCACCACAGGTGCACAGACTCGGTCTGGGTTGGCCAGGCTTACGGCCTCGCTCCTGCAGGAGCTTGGGTCGGGAGGCCCCTGCGTGTGCTGCGGGCAGCCCCGCACGGTCGTTAGGCCTGGGAACAGGCCCTGCTGCTGGGCCACCCTCAGTGTCCTTCCCCTCTCCGAGCACGCAGGTCATCCGCTGACAAACAGGCCGCACATTTTGCTCGGGCATCTGTCAGGGTCTCCTTCGCCATCACATCCAGCAGCGTCTGATTCCCACGGCCCGGCCTTCGTGGGGCCAGGACACCGGTGTGCTGCCTCGCCTGGAGCCAGCGGATGGGAACCTGCGTCTCTGGGAGCTGCCCGCACCCGATTCTGGCCAGGAAACATTCGGCGGGGCCGTGAGGTCGTAAAGGAGCCCAGCCTCCCTCCTGGGAGCTCCACTCCAAGGCTGGCGCCGGCCGTCAGCATGCAGACCTGCAATTTACCGTGATTTCTCGGGGTGGTTCGCCGGCTCCGCTCCTGCTGCTCGAGTCCAGAAGGAGGTCCGCTGCTTCCCGGGCTGTGCCGGGCACTGTGGACGTGATCCTGTAAACGGTCTGTGCTTCTCGAGGAGAAGCCGGAGGTCACAGCAGCAGTGAGCACCAGCCTGCTGACTTCCTCGTCCGCGCACTGGTGATACAATGAACACCTTGCACCCTGGGGCCCTGGGGCCCAGTGGCAAACACGGCCACACCCGCTGGCTCTCGGCTCTGTCCTCGTGAGCGACGGGGATTCGGGCCACCTGAGTGATGGGGCCGCCCTGCCTCCCTGCAGGGGACGCTCATGCCCGCAGACCCGGTGGGTGGCAGGTGGGGTCCCTGTGGAGCGGGCAGCCCCACTCCACCCCGACACTTACTGCCACTTGGGAACTTTACCCCAGAAGAGTCACATTTCTGTCATTTTCCAAGAAAGTGAGAAATCTGGACTTTAATGCAGTGTCGGTTTTGATCAAATGAACCCGATTTCCAGGTCAGATTCAGCTTCACCTGCTGCTCTGGTACCCCTGCCTGACGTGATGTGTCCCCCTAGAAACAGGCTTTGAAGGCTAATGTTGGCTTTGAAAATGTTCAAGCCAAAAGAAACCAGGGCGCGTGTGCCAGGCCGCTGCCAGCTCTGGCCGGACAGCCTGGCCCTGACGTCCACCAGGGCCCGCCCATCACCCATCCTGGTGACAGGACACGCAGGGTCTGTGGCTTCTCTCTGGAACTGCCGAGTGGGTTGGAAGGGCCGTGGCTGATCACCTGACTGCAGGGACGCCGCGTCCTGGCCTCGGGTCGGTCTCGCTGCTGCGGAGAGTTCAGGAGATGTGCCCCCTGCTCGGGGGCCTCCTCACTGCCCGTGGCCCCAGTGCCCGTCCAGCGCCCAGCAAGGCGTCCCGGGCGGGGATCAGAGCTGACAGGAGCCGGGGGCGCAGCCGCCCCTGTGGGCTTCTGGAAGGCTGGTCTCTGGATGGGGGAGGTGCCCTGCCAGCACCTGTCCCACCTCACCTGGGCCCCCAGGTCGGCAGGTGTCTGCTCCCCGGTGGTGGGGGCCGTGGGGAACAGGACCGAGGTCCCTCTCCTGTCCCTCTATTTCCCAAAATGGGGACCGAGCTCAGGACGGGTCCTGACTTGCCTGAGACGGGACACTGGACTTGGATCCCCAGTTCACCCCGGGAAGCAGGAGCCAGGCCCGACCCCGGCCCCCTGCTGAGTCTCTAGCTGCTTCCTCTTTTCTTACAAACTTTCCAGATTTGTCTTTACATTTTTCACTAAAACAACTTGCAGCGCAAAGATACCCAGAAAATGTCAGACAAATAAATAGCACTGAAATTAAAATCAGAAGCTCAGGAATAACTTTGAGAAACTGAGCCACCTTTTCGAGGTGGAGAGTGCAGATATGTGAACCCCGGGGGCCGGTGGCAGGCTGGTGGGACTGTGAGAGG